GGCGCAGTCATGAAGACTTTGAACTCCATTGACCCTGCTGACTGGCCGAATCAGAGAATGTTAGGTGAATGGTTGTTCCATCGGTTGAGGAATGTCCGGAAGCTTGAAAGGACCATCGATGAGATCAAACGCTCCGCATACAGCTAGGAACTTCGTGATTTCGACTTCCTTTGGGGAAGATTGCAGGAGCATCTCGTTGAGGAAAGGCAAGACACCAATGCCAGGTCCATTGAGCTTTCGTTGAAGCCAAAGTCATGGAAGAAAGATCCCAAAGAGAAGCCGAGCCCTCTAGCAAACCCTGCAAAGGCTGCCACCGCAGAGTTTAGAAAGGCAGGGAGTGTCTCCAGAAGTGTTCAGCCAGTTCCAGCTTCCTTCGCATGAGAGCCTGAGGTTTTCAACACATAAAGGAAACAGAGATTCGAGCAATGCAATCGGTCTTGGGGATCGGGAAGGAATCTCTCATGAAGCAAATCACTTCGTGCTTGACTCATCCCCGTTTGTCCGTTCTGTTGGTCTTGATGTCAGCAAATGGTATGGGGTTTTTGTGGTTGCCTAATCAACTCCCATACTATATAAAAGACTGCAATCAGTTCCAGTTCGTCCCATATTTTTCCAGATCTTTCGATTTCACCCCAGGCGTACCAGGTGAGGTCAGTCCTACCCGAGGTCCGGTCTCCTGAAGGCGCTGTTTCGCATTCAGTTGCAGACGACATTCGTGGCGTTGCTCCAGGGGAGGCTTTGCCAAAGGTCCCTGAATCCGAGAAGTTCGCGTGTGAAAGGGAACTTGCATTGTCTACCAAGCATTGCATGACGCATTTCCCCAAGTCCGCGCTTTGTGATGTTTGCAATCGCGCTAGGCTGTACTCAAAACGCATCAAGTCCCATCGTAGAGCAGATGAAGAGAGTGATCTCCCTGTTCCTGAAGCGTTCGGCCAGCAAGTTGCTTGTGATCACATGATCGTGTCAAAATCTTCGTCGGGGAAGGAATTTGTTGTTCTTGTAGTGATGGACTTGTTCAGCAAAGTTTTCCAAGCACACCCCTGACGACAAAAGATACTGACTCGGTAAAATTTTGTAGGTACAAAGGCCAAGAGTCCTCAAACCATTTGTAAGACTGACTGCGCAAAGGAGCTTCTGAAGGCCATTCGTTCACTGGGTTGGCTTCCTGATGCATCCTTGCCAAGGAGATAGCCTCACAACAGTGTGCTTGAGCGCCAGATCAGGTCCTTTGAAGAGTCTTGTAGAAGCATGCGCTTGCAAGCAGGATTCGCAGTGTTCCCAAAGCTTTGGACAAACTTTGGACCCTGACCTGTCAGTACACAGCCGTTTCCATGAGCATCGAGCATTGGTCAAAGGCTTTTTGGTTCTGAGTTCAAAGGTGCAGACTACATTTTGGGTCAGTTGGTTTTCTATAGAGCAAAGTTTCAAGAGAAGTCAAAACTCGCCCCCAATTCTTCGCCAGCCCTAATGGGAGGTTGGAAGCTTGAGTTTGGGTGTCGGTTTAAAGGTGTTATGAGACTTGTGGATTACAAGTCCTTGAAGCAAGGTCGTGTTTCCATTGTGGTCGTCCCGGATCAAGAGGTGTATGTTCATGATGAGCGTGTGTTTCCTTTGAGAGGTCTTGCAGAGAAGGCATTGAATGACTTCTCGGATCCTGATGTTCGTCAACTCGCTGACGTGGATCCTCTGCCAGTCCTTTTCATTGAGGATACCCCAGAGACTAAGTCTAAAGCACGCAGGGTTTACATCACGTACAGTAGGATGCTGAAGATCGGTCCAGCCAAGGGTTGCAAGGGTTGTGATGCTGATTCGTCTGCGCACAATGCCGAATGCATTGCCCGGTGTGAGAAAGCATTCGGTGCTCCTCCGACTCCAGCAATTGAGCCTCCAACCTTTGAAATGCCGGAGATCCATGGAGACTTGCTTGATGAAGAGTATACCCCAACGGTTGTGTCAGAGGCCGAAGAGAATGAAGAGGAGGAAGTCCCAGAGTGTCCTCCGCCCTCTGACGATGAAGATGATCCTGGGGGTGATGAAGATCGTGTTCAAGCCGGCATAAATGCCGTCCTTGCCATGTCTCATGATGCCATTGCAAAGAAAGCTCCAGAAACGATTGTACAAGAAACATATGCATCGGCAGTCGCTGCCAGCAAAGAATGCTGTCTTGGAGCAGCCGCAAAGCCTGAACGTTTGTACAGTCAGATCCACAATTCCCCAGGTGGCAAGATTCTGTTTGAATTTGCTTGCGCTTCGGACTCAGCACTCGGTAGGGTTCGTGAAGAGCTTGGGATTAAAGTTGTAAGACTTTGTAGGGAACACATAGATCTTGCAAGTAAAGTGAACATCGACCAACTTGTTGTGAAAGCCATTCCTGGTTGTTCAATCCATGGTTCCATTGAATGTGGTCCCCTTGGAGTGCTTGGCAAAGGTTGAATGAAGCAAAGAACCCCAAGTTGTCCAACATCCTTCGAGAGAAACGTAGGGAAAATGTTTCAATGATGCATTCGTTCATCAGGGTCGCAAACCATGTTCTTGACAATGGTGGTTTTGTGTCTTTCGAGTGGCCAAGGTATTGTTCAGGGTGGATGTGTGAGCCTTAGCGTCCTGGATCACAGAAAGGCAACTGCTGTCTGCCACTTTTGATGGCTGCGCCGTAGGGATCACCGCCAAGGACAACAATCCCGCTCGAAAGCCGTGGAGGTTTGTCACGAACAACAAGAGGTTGGCTGATTCTTTGGGAATGTTGAAGTGCACGCATGACAAGCATGCACCCCTTGAAGGGAAGTACGCTCGAAATTCAGCCTTCTACCCAGAGCCTCTTTGTCAAATCATGTTGCGTGCTTTATTTCCACATGTCATCAACGCTCATGTATTTTGCACGCCGTGTACACCTCGCGTAAACCATTTGCATCGGCAGCATGTTGTCAAAGGGATGCCGTGTGTTCCCACTGATGTTCTCATGCATGAGAGTGGTTGCAAAGAGCTTGCGACACCAGCTTTTGTTCATCGTTTGTTGGAGCGTGACGATTGGAAGGGCCGTCCAGAGGTCTACCATGCCATCAAGAATGAGAAAGATGGTTTGGTGACGGAGGGGACCTGGATTGAAGATGAGATTAGGTCAAGGGCAGACGTGATCAGGGAATTTCCCAATAAGACTCTGCATTTCGGAGCCCTAATGGTGATAGTCAGTAAAAAGGGATATGAAAAGAACCCATCTGACTGGAAGATCAAGGCTCGGATCGTTTTCCGAGGTGACGCAGTCAAGGATCAGGGGGGCTTGAGCGCCATCTTCCAAGATCTTGCTGCTTCCGCTCCGAGTTCACTTGCAGCCTTGAACACAGTGATAGCCTTTTCGATGATCGAGGGGAACACTTGTTCAACGTCTGATTGCGCCCGGGCATATATTCAGTCTGCACTTGGCACGAAGCATCGAACCTTCGTTTTGTTGCCACCTGAGCTCGCGCCGGCGTCCAAGAAACATGTCCACATGCCTTGTGCTCAGCTGTACAAGAGCCTTTATGGCCACCCAGAGTCGTCTGCGCGCTGGCTGGCCCACCTTTCCAGGATCTTGCATGAAAAACTCACTGGTGTCGAGTTTAGCGAGATGCCCTCGGTTTTTTGTTTCGGTCGTTCTCTGGTGATGAGCGTCTGCGTAGACGACCTTACTCTCTCAGGTGCAGCCTCCGAACACGAAGGATTCTGGAAAACCCTCAAGCAGTATATAAATTTAGAATAATTTAGATCCACCCACAGAATATGGGAGAGTCTTAGGACGAAATCATAGGCTTGTGTGGTTTCAAGGGAGCAAAGCAGTGGCCTTAGAATCAGCAGACTTCGCCAAACAGTGCGTGGAGCTGTATGAAGAGCTGGCGAAAACGCGGGTAAAGGCCTACTCCTCGCCCACCTGGGACGACGGAGCCTTGATCCCTGCTGATGACGAGATCAAGGGGCAGCTCTCGCCGCATTCGGCCAAATGAATAATGAAGTTGATGTGGCTTTGTCGCATTAGCAGACCAGTCGTCGCATTCGCTGTGACCCTGTTGGCGAAACACATTACGGTGTGGTCAGCCAACGACGACAAGCGAGTCGCAAGACTCATTGGGTACTTGCATAATAAGTCCCATGAATACTCCCCTGTGATGTGCATTCGCGATCCGCCGGAGCTGTTGAATCTCTCCCTGTATTGCGATGCCGATTTCGGCGGGGACATCAGGTCGATGCGCTCAACCTCAGGATTCGTCCTTGCGGTGTCGGGTCCCTCCAGCTTTGCTCCTGTGAGCTGGGGCACTAAGAGGCAAAGCGTAGTTTCGAGATCAACAACAGAGTGCGAGTTTGTTTCGCTTTCTACAGCCGTCTTCTCAGAGGCAATCCCAACCTTGCAAGTGTGGCAAGAGTTGATCCCAGGTATGACCCTGAAGATTTTCGAAGACAATGCAGCTGTGGTCTCCATTATCTTCAAAGGTTACTCCAACAAGCTGAGGCATTTGAGCAAAACACATCGCATACATGTGGCTTCAACAGCGGATAAATAATGCTGATGACATCTCAGTCCAGCGTATCGAAACGACTCAGCAAAAGGGCGATGTGTTTACAAAAGGGTTGCCATTATCCAAATGGGGAAATGCATTGGAATTGTTGCAGTTCTCCCTGAGTCCGCTCCCGTCTTATGATGCAGGCAGGAGTTCACATGGCTAGAGCTAAGCGATAGTCAGCCGCAGTTCGAAGCTAAGCTAGATCTGCAATGAATAAAATGGTTGGAGCTAAGCGATAACCAGCCGCAGTTCAAAACTAAGTTAGATGAATGAAAGTCCGGACAATGAAAGTCCGGACAATGCATGTCGCACAGTGCTATTGCCGAGCGCAGCCAAGCTTGCATGCAGGGAGTCTGGCTGCACAAAGCGCCTCTCCCAAAAGCCGTTCGTAAGCCTGTAATGTTCGCTTGCAGTCTTTCGATAGGAACTGTCAGGTCACAGATGGTTCAATCAATGAAGCGATTGTCTCAGACCTGAACTACTAGCTGTACAGTTGTCCATCACACTATGAGGGGGGACTTGAGAATTCCTGTGTACAGTAACCCTCATGTATAGACATAGTTTTTGGTCAACTTGTACTTTTGGCTCAAGTTGTCAAAAAGGTCCGCAGCCGTTGCCACACCGCGGCCACGGCGGACTTTACTTGTTGCTTCTTGGTATTGTTTGTGTTGGTGTTCCGGTTCACCGGTTTAAGTGTTATTGAAGTTGCTGGCAACCTAATTGATTGTTTTAATCGTCTACTTTGCCAGCAATGCATGTAGGTCACACGTGTGGAAAGAGCTGTTACAGACACGGTGTTGGAATGATCTTCATTCTGAAATCGCTGGGCTTCCGTTGAGCTCAGCACGGGCCGCTGCTTGGAGGCGCAGGTTACGTCGAGCGCGCCGCGTGCAACACCGACGACGACTCAAGTGTTGGGACGCTTGCGCAATCCATCGCAGAAGTCCTCATCTTCCAGCATTGACGCACTCAGGAAGCTTCCCAGGCAAAAGCCCGTCGGACGGCGCTCGGCTCCGACGACCGTACCGAAGGCGAAAGCCAAGAGCCAGATTCGACCCGACCATCTTTAAGCCCGGCCTTTGAGCAGGACGTCCAACGTCCTCTATGGCATCGTGGCAAGGACCCGTTTCTTTTCCACCCGCGGCTGAACAAGAGATTGGAGTCTACGAGCCCAAAGAACAACTTCAAGAACACGGGCAAGAACAACCGCAGCCGAGTTGACGTTCTTGCGACTTTTGCTGGAGCTGCCAGAATCAGCAAAAGAGCTGCCAAGTCTGGCCCAAAGGCGACTGAGCCAACGGACTTGTTATTGAAGAGATGCATGCTGAGACCGAGGATCACTTGGCGCAGCGGCGCTTCATCAGGTACAGGGCAGGTTGGGATGATCCCGCGCACTGACAGTGGCGGAACCTCCAGCAATCAGAGCCTTGATTGGAACCTTGGCCGCTTCAAGAGAGCATGTCGCAGCACACTAGCGGTCGCTAGCGCTTAAAGCATCATCAGAGTTTAAATGTTCAGTGTGCCTCAGCAGCGTATTTCTTGGAGTTCCTGTTCACCGGCTTGGAAAAGGCACACGTTTTCGGCCGCGGACAGCAAAGCCTGTGCGATTGCATGGGCGGCTATCCAAACTCGGAGGGCCGTAGAAACTTGGTGAATATACGGTCGTTGCACGAGTTTGTGATTGCAAGGGCTGTTCACATGTGGGAGATGGCTGGTGCTGTCACGAATGTCAGCAAGTTTTGCAACACACTACCTACCTTTGATTGTGCTGTGGGAGATCAAGCACAAAATGCATTCCAGAGTGAATTTAGCGTGTGTTGGCACTACCAGCCAGGCACTGCCACCATCGACTGATCTCATTGTGTGGCTGTTTTCACATGTTTTCAACCTCAGGTTCCCGAACCCCATCATGACTGAAAGTCCGCCATGACTGCGCTTGATTTTGAAACACCCCTACACACATGTTGAAACACATGTATTTGTTGAAGGTTCATGGCAGCGGCAGGGTCAGTCAAATCCGACAGTTGATTGTCAGACTTCTAGCTATAAGAGTTGTTCGCAGGCACCTTGGACTTGCCACTACCAAGGCTTGGCGTTTATCCAGGATGTACTACGATTGTAGCAAACCAGTTCCAGTCCTTGGATGGACATGTTTGGATTTATCGGCATGTGTTTGGGTGGTTTGGAGGCCACGCCACGATCGGCGCAAGGTTTTGGTGGCGAGGTGCGGTGCATTGGCAAAGACCTTGTTACTAGTAGCTTCTTGCTCCTGGTAGTAAGGCCAGGAGCCCCTAGTAGCGTCCTTGCTCCTAGTAGCGATGCCCTTTGTTCCTAGTAGCTTCATCAGAATGTTGTTGTGAATTTGCATCGTGGTGGCACTGGTAGGAGCTGCGACAAGTCAAGAAGGTGGAACAGCAGAACGGGCACCTACAGCGATTGATGAAAGAAAGTGCAAGACACATAAAAAACTTGCGGTGGAGTCTTCATGCCCAGAACTCATGGCAATATGCATCCCCAACCAACCATTCTGTTCAGGTTTGCCTGGAACTCTGACCCATGCTGTTGACGTGTCGGTCTTTTCAGTGCCAAGGTACAAGACCAAAAAGGGTTTGAGGAGCACTACAGATGCAGTCCGCTTCTTCGAGAAGGCCCCCAGCTTTGAAGGAATAGGCAGTCCACAAAGGGGCGTGACAAGGTCAGACTGTTTCAGCCTGTCGGACATGAGAACTGTTCGCTGAGGCTGCCAGCTGCCGTGAGAAGGGTGATTTGCAAACCGTCGGACGCCTTGGTGAATTACAACATGGAATGAAACTACCACTTTCAAGTCTTTTCCTGCTCGACCACTTTTTGCCATCAGATCGAAATTAAGCAAAGACATCCTAAGACGGCAAGAGCTGGTGACACATGTTCTTTGCTGCATTCCCTTCGTAGCTGGTTCCTCAGTGTTTTTACCGCTAGGCCATCCAGCATTATCGAAAGGCTGGCAACAGTCTCACAGACTCAAGATTTGGAAGACCCAGCTCTTCCACATTTGCAAAACAAAGTGCATCAATTCTAGTGTTGCAGTCTCATTGTGCCAGAGAACATGACAGCATGCTAATTAAACCCTCCAGTGGTCGCGTCATCCTGCCAGAGGCCAGGGTGGCCATCGGGAAGGCCGTCTGCCATTTTGTCAGTTCAGAAGTTCTGTCCAAGTGCATTTGTAGCCTCCTATTATATATATATATAGCGATGGCCTCCAACCCAAGAGCAATTGCAACCACCTATATAGTAGCAATGGCCTTCAACTTAATAGCAATGGCCTTTGTAGCCTCATGATTGCTTTTCCATTTCTTCCATTCTATATATTGTGTAGGGGATCCACTACACTTCAACTGCTAGCTCCCAGTCATTGCTCCTTATGTTTCTTCTCAGGATTTTTATGGGTGATCTTCTGGAAACACGGATGGTATCGTCATCTCGGGCACACAGGGCATTTTGTGCAGGCTTCCGGCAAGGGCAGCAAAGATTATGCCCGAGCCGGATTCTTGGAGAGTTGATCACTCAGCTGCAGCAACGAGGTGTACAGCTGAGGTTTGCAACGATTTGGCCCAGACCTACTTTGAAGTGGGCCGTCACAACAGAGCCATGGAGCTACTTGAAGAGCAACAGCCTCAGGTCTATACTAGTAGCGATGCACTTAGCTACTAGTAGCTTCTTGCTGCTAGTAGCGATGCACCTTGTTACAGTATCTTCTTGTTACTGGTAGATCTGATTCAGATTTTAGATAATCTCGCTTGGCTGCTTCAGTCTTAGTCTTAGACAACTTGGAGGTCGAGGACTGCATTTGCCACAGCTGTTGGTGAGGAACATGTCGAGTGCTCGGCCTGGTTCAGCGTCCGATATGTTTGAATACTTTTTGAGATGGCAGAGTGCATGCCGGCGACAGGTACGCAGGCTGCTTGCAAAACTTGGCGCGCGTGAAGTTGAAACTCAATTTCGTCGCTGAGGCGGAGGCAATGCTGGGTTTATTGATATGTTGTGAAGGGTGCATTGTGTGTTGGCCAGATCAGGCCTTGTACAAGAAGGTGCCAGTCCGTCGGAGAGGATGTCGCCTTTGGCCACAGCGTCAATCCTGTTTACAACATGTGAGTAAACACAAATACGCATCAAAGTCAATAAATATGCTATCATAGGATATTGACAATTGAATTTATCAGCCATATGGTGAAGACGATGGTCCTGGAGTCCCTCTTCCAGGTGCATACAGTTGCTGTTTGTCGAGGGCGTTTGCTTGAACAGGCCTCAAAAATCTATGCGGGGGACCTAGGAGCCAATCACATGGCCTACCTTGACAGTCTCAGGACAGTTCTGTGATGGGCAAGTGTTGGAACCCCCCTACTATATGCTGCTGCAGATTTTCCTTTTCATTGCAGGAGTCTGGCCAGCCTGTACCAAAGTGTCGGGCAACCTGATATGGCAGGGCCCTCAAGACGCAACAATGGGAGTCTTCCATCACGGCATCGCCTTGCCCACACAAGAGGAATCGTTGGAACTGGTGTTCTATTCTATTCTGCCCTAAATGTGTACCTTTGTGTGCCTTGCTGTGCAACAGCTTCAGCCCTTTTCTGGCGGCGTTGCGCACCTGGTTGGTGTGCAGCTCACTCCCTTTTTTGGAGTGCCTGTGGCCTCGCTGGCCATTGCCCGGCCCATTTCCTCCTCCTTGGTCCACGCCGGGGTTGACCATCCTCTTTGACAGCCCACTCACAGCCCAACGGAGCCACTTTGTCCCAAAAACGGGGCCTGTTCTTCCAAAAACGGAGCATGTTTTGCCCAAAAACGATCCATGTGTTTCCCAAAAACGGAGCATGTGTTTCCCAAAAGTTTTTCCCAAAAACGTATATTCTTCCTGAAAACGGAGCTTCCCAAAGTCGGTGGCTGATTTCCCCAAAGTCAGTGCCAGATTTCCCCAAAGTCGGTGACAGATTTCGCCAAAGTCGGATTTCCCCAAAATCGGTGACGGATTTCCCCAAAATCGGTGACAGATTTCCTCAAAATCCCTGACGGGTTTCCCCAAAATCGGTGACGGATTTCCCCAAAAATGCGTGGCTGATGTTCCTCAAAGACCGAACCAATTTATTGCCCAAAACCGGAGCCAGTTTTTGTTTGCTGGAACGGAGTCAGTCTTTCCCTAATATGCATTTTCTGTTGTTGCTTCAATTTGGGATAAGCACGCACAGTCCAAAAGGATAAGAACACCAGAAAGAAGAACTGTATTCCTTAAATTTTCTCCAGGTTTTCCTTCGATGTTCAAACGATTTTCCCTCTTGTCATTTCACAGTGGCAAAAGTCACAACGGCAACGGCGCTTGCGTGCACAAAGCCATCCGTCAAACCAATCACCACTTCCATGAGTCCATTTTCCGTGTTTATTGCCACGGTTGGGTGAAACTCCGCGCTGAACAGCTCTGTGGCTTCTGTACCAGCCGCTCACCGATCGTTTGTGGCAAGTTGCCTCTTCAACTCATTTTTTCCCAGTTTAATGTGCCGCCTTTGCATCTTTATATCAAAGTGCAAAGTTTGCAACAACAAAAAATATTACACATCTTACAATGGAGAAGATGCACGTGCAGGGAGCAAAAGAAAGTCGCAATTTGATACATGGAATGAAACAAACCGTCCAATACTCACAGTCGGGTCAGAAAGAGCCTCACAAAGCAAACGTGTTTCAAGAAGCAGCATTTAGAAAGAAAGGCATTGCCACACTGCGCACACGTTGCTCACAAACAAGCCAGCCTCTATGGAATGAGGTAACCATAGCAGTCCAACCTGGAATGATTGGTTGACCCCCGCACTTCAACCAGGTGTTTGTAACAAGTATATTATATTCAGAGTATTAACATGTTTGTACTAAGGGGAGGACTTGGAGACACCGCGTTTAATGGAAGCTTCTTCGTCTTCTTTGCTCCAGTTGCCGTCCTGTGGAGAAGGCATTCAAACTAAAAAAGAGCTGACTAAACACGAACTGGTAGGTCATTGAAGCTACTGCAACTGGCAAAACAAGTTGCTGGCACCACGGCTCCTCCTGTTGGCTAAATATTTCTATCTTGGAAGGTGCAATGGATAGTTCTTCTTCCTTCTTGATCGCCTGAGAGCTGAACGACAATACCACCCATACACTTTTGCTTTCAAGAAAACATGTTCTGGCTTTGTTTCACTGTCTGCTTTGTCTTCTACTCAACATCAACTAAGACACTATTGGACATGAACGCAAACGATGAACTCACAGCATGTGTTGCAAAGATGGTCGCTCTGCTTAATCTTTGTCATTGCCCATCTCAAAGCTGTTCCAAAACAAAATGAAAGAAACTCCATTTGAGGTCTGCACCTTCTTCAAATAATCCTGTCAACCGAGGGTTTGCAAACGAAAATGCCAAGAAAAAAATAGCGGAATGGCAATGATATGGTTGGGATGAAAACATGTCAAGTGCACAATGTTTGAAGGCGCAGGGTCAATCTGGAAAGCATTGCCGACCAACTCGAAGTCGCCATTGTCGTCCTGCAAGGTCAACAGCCAAGACATTCAAACTCAACCCTTTCCAACCGTGTGCTACTCGCATTTACTTACCAAAGGGCACAGCAAAGGAACAAGTATTTCATACATCCTGAGGAATGAACGACCCTGCAATCTTCTCCCTAAAAGTCCTGAACCCTGCCAAGTTCGTAGCATAACAGTGTAGAATCTTGCACCGTGGACTTACCCTTCATCACGCGTTATTTTGCGGGAAAAGAGCATGAACCTGAACGAACGGCGACAATAATCTTCAACCGAACTGTCCGGGGGTCGTCAGTGCACCGCTTTGGTCAGAGCAACGACTTTGCTGAAACAAAATGTGTTTACACGGTCATTGAATGCACTTCTCTGCAGTCCTTGCGGATTTGTCTCACCCAAACAGCCGGTGGTGCAGTCCATTGCTTGTATTACCTTTATCTACTGTATCAACTTCGTGATTGTCCATATACATACACACACACACATATATATATATATCAACAACCTCCATCCACCTCCTCTTTGGAACAGCGTATGCAAAACAGACCAAACACGAAAGAGAACCTGTTTCTGAAACACCGTCCTGATGTTGGCAAAGGAATTTGTTGGAGCTTACGGGCAATCAGCAGCTTCATGTGATAAGACGAGGGGATGACAAGCCCATTCCTCAACCGTGTCAATGAAGCGGGCAATCCAAAGGTGATGGCATCCTTGTTGATGACCCCGCCCAGGTTCTCCTCCGCAATCATTCTTGCACCTTTGTCTGTCTTCACATCCTCCACCAAAGAGAAGCCTTGCTTGGCGATGTACTCCAAGTGAGCCCTCGCCACTGCATTTTTCACACACGAAGGCAGCCCGGGGCACTGCATAACTGCAAAGGGGTCAAAGTTTTCCCTCTTCCGCATGAGACTCTCCAAAGCCTGCTTGGTGGTGTAAATGTCGCCGCCGAAGTAATTGTAGAACATCTCTGCCAAGTCTTTATCCATGCCCCAATCATCTTTCAGCATTTTTAGCATGTTAACCTTTGGTACTTCTCCAATGATAATGACTTTGCCTATATGCCTGAGGTCTAACCCTGCAGCTTGCAGGCGGAAGAGATACCCAAACTCTTTGAAGATATCAGCAGGACACTTGCTTGCTTTGTCTGCTTCGTCCATTTTGTGACGGCTTGTAGAGCTGACTTGGCCGCCGTGTTCGCATCTTCACCTAGTCCGGGCAATGCCAAATTCGCCTCATCCACAATGAGACTGTGGGTCTTACCACTCCTGATGGTCTTGTCAATGAACATTGAAATATGTGCTTTTCCTTGGACTACAACATCCAGCACACTCCGGCAACTGCAAGTCTCCGGCAACTGCAAGTCTCTCGCCTGCAAAGATGGTGACAATATGCGCGATCACTGCATGCAAGAGTTCCGTTGCCCGGGTTCTCAACTGCAGAGATTTTTGGCCGTTGCAGGTCGAGTGCTGTGATTAAAGGTTTGCCAAGCATATCAGCATCCCGCATATCCGGTGAGATGATGTCGATGTTCCTTTCGCTCTCGCTGCATCGCTTGATTGCCTCACCTTTGAGAAATGTTTTCTCCAAATTTTTGCCCCCCAACACCAACACCAATCCTGGTTTTTGCATTGACAGCACCAAAGCCTGTATCGCAGCATCTCTGTCAACAACTTTTCAGGAATTCATGTGACTGTCTGCAAGCGCAACAATGCTCTCCAAATAGGTCTTGGCATCAGTCTCGTTCCTACTGGCGGCTTTTTGCACCGCTACCCAAAAACTGTTTGTTTCGCCCGCGTCAACACGAGGAGGTAGACCACATAGCTTCACTGAACTGGCAGTGGATTTCTTGTTGTCCCTGTTGCCAAAAAGCATCCAACCACACTCGCAAGTGCACCACGCCATTTGGGTGAGCCGGACATCTCATGAAGTGTAGTCAACTTGAAAAGGTTCATCAAATTGCAACAAATCATGTGAAAGGTTGAACAAGCAAAATCTCTGAGCGTCTTTACACATCTCTGCGCACGTATCGGGAACTAAGGTTGATGTTACTCACTGCGTTCATACCACTCATGGTTTGAGGACTAGGTTCCGTGACTAGAATGAAGTTTAGCGAGAAGCAAATTTGCCCGAAAAACAGTGAACATAGTAATGTCCAAAGTTTGCAGTTGTCAGCGGAGACATTCTAACACTTGCAGTGGCTTGGAAAGGACGACACAGGCAGAAATACAAAACGCGTGAAACACAAATCCAACTTGTGCGGTTATAAAATCCATACGGTTTGGAAATGATATCATGAAACCCATGCAGTCTGGAAATGAAATCCACCGGCTTAGGAGATTGCATCCAAAGGCTTGGAAACTAAATCCATTTGGAAATGACATCCTTGAAAACGAAACCAGAAAGCAAATGTGTTCAAGCCTGTGAACATCATCTTAGTCCAGTTTTGCTGTTCTCTTTCAAATTCTGTTGTTTCATTCGGATGTGGAGCGCGCCTCTATGTGTGCTTATCCCAAATTGAAACAACAGCAGAAAATACATATTAGGGAAAGACTGACTCCTTTCCAGCAAACAAAAACTGGCTCCGGTTTTGGGCAATAAATTGGTTCGGTTTTTGAGGAACATCAGCCACGGAGTTTTGGGGACATCCGTCACCGATTTTGGGGAAACTGCAGAAACCCGTCAGGGATTTTGAGGAAATCTGTCACCGATTTTGGGGAAATCCGTCACCGATTTTGGGGAAGTCCGACTTTGGGGAAATCCGTCACCGACTTTGGCGAAATCTGTCACCGACTTTGGGGAAATCTGGCACTGACTTTGGGGAAACCAGCCACCGACTTTGGGAAGCTCCGTTTTCAGGAAAAATATACGTTTTGGGGAAACACTTTTGGGAAAAACATGCTCCATTTTTGGGAAAAACATGCTTCGTTCTTGGGCAAAACATGTCCCGTTTTTGGGGGAAACTCACTGGGGAAGGACGAACTCCCCCATCCACCACGCTCCATCCACTGGCTTCTGACTCTTGCCCGGTTTGCTCGATCTTCCTGAGCTCTGAGCGCCATGTAGTCAGGAAGCGGGTAAGCCCTTTCTGGCCTTGGGCTTGCTCCATCTCCCCCCTCGGCAATCAAGTGCTTCAGAAGTTCGTCCCGCTGCATCATCCGTTCTTCTCCCAACCGAGCGCGGACTTGGTGCTCTCGAAGGCCATCCTGCTGATAGTGGAGCTCTTTGGAGTATGCCCTGGAGATCTTGAAGTGCGTCGATACTTCGGAGTCCGCCCCTCCCCGATCTCCTGGACTCGACGAAGAGGGTCTCGAGGTTGCTCATCGTCCTCCTCCACCTCCTGGTCGGGCTCGTGTCCTCGGGCTCCTCATCGTCCACGACATGGGCCCTCACCCGGGATCTCGACCTTGACCTTCTTGATGGCGGGGTGGAAGTCCGAAGGGCCGTCCAGGGCTCATGCTCGGCACACCACAAGACACCGTGTTGGAACTTAGAACCCACCCGTTTACATGAAGTAACACTACACTTGTCCTTATACCGTTCAACCATGTATTTGGTGGAGTGGCTGGAACACAAAGCTACCTTTGTACAACCTACAGGCATGTCCTCAGTCAAAATCTGTTCAAATTGCAAAGCTTTTGCCTCACAGGGTCGAGGTGCCAGGTAGGCCGGTCCGCCCTCACTGCCCAGCCAGGTGACCCGACTAGCTGACTAGCTGCGCACCTCAGTACCTCTTCTTCTTGTTCAGACTCCGAGCCCAACTCTTTGATGCGTTGCATCACGCCCATAGTGGCCTCGGTGACCCTTGGGCCAGTGATCCAAGCCCAGAGGTGCTTCGTGGCGCTCTTTGCCCCTTGTCGGGCTTGGTTCAACTGAAAGCCTCACCTGTCCGCTTGAATGCCCTGAGCTGCGAAGTCTCCGGCCTCCTCCCCGTCCCAGGTCCATGGAACTCTGCTTCTGAAGCTTCAGGCGAACCCCCGGTGACCCGCTGCAACCAAAAAGCCGAGGTTTCCAGCCATCTCAACAGCTTGCGGCATAGCCAAATCAGCGCCATCACCAGGGCCACGACCACGGACACCACCGGGTAGCAAACGGCCCAGATGTAGTGGGCCACCAAGCATAGACCGAGCACTAGCCCGATCTGCACCGCTCGGCGGCGTCCGACCACCATGTCGATCACGAGCCACAGGCCGGTGTCGAAAGAGGTAGATCCCACTCCCTCCACACCTGTAGCTGCCCAGGCTCCACCTTCTCCCATCACTCGCCCCAGACGGGGAAGGCCGCCTGAGGTTCTTCCCCTGCCACCTCCGTGGCGTTTGGCGTGAACCACCAACCATGAGCTGCAGCCGCGCAAGCTAAGGTGAACCTAATGCTCACCATCCTGTGGGCCACCCCCCAGCTCACACCCTCAGGCCCAGGGCCAAAAACCTTCGAGCACAGCCACTCCCCAAAGGTCTCACTTACCTCTAAGTTCCAAGAAAATCGGCCCTGGTGTTCTGGTTTCTCTTCGCCTGGAACCCTGAAGTATTGGAACTCTGGAACGGGATCTTCGATCTGTGACAGGCTTAGCCAGGCTTCAATTGAAACTTTCCGTCTGGAAAAGTCACCTCAACGCTCACCGCACCTGGAAACGCCGTGAACGTTCCACGCCGTGACTCTTGGAGCCGGTGATTCTTGGAGCAACCCTTCGCTTTCCTCACACAGGAGCCCAGGCCTGATCCAAGATGCCAGCTGCTACTTGAACTCTACGCTGGTGTACCTACGTTTTTGGGAAGGTGTCCTGTTTGTGGATAGGAGCTTCCAAAGGTTCGGCAGATGTGAGCGACTTGTACCACTCATGGCTTCTTTTTAATGACTCTGCATGGCTGAGGTTCGACCGCTGTTACTCGAGGTGCAATCACCTAGGGCCTAGGGTCATGTGGTGTACATTTGGTGGATGCTCAATGCAATTTCCACCTTCGCCGAAGCTGGACCATTTTTGCCATGCGAAGCATGGACCACGTCAGAGGCCTCATTCGGCAAGCCTTGGCGCGTCCTCCCGCGCAGCCTGCTTGGCTCAAAGGCAAGAAATTGCCACAACTCCCAATGCAGTTGCTGCCGCCATTGCTGCCACTCTTGGTACTTTGGGCTGGTGCCCATGCGCTTAAGCGAGCAGATGAGGTCCAGAGAGTCCAGACTTCAGCTGCTTGACTGGCCTTTTTGATGCTCAACTCGAACTAGCTTTGACTAGCTTCATTTGCTGAAATTAGCTAGCATGCCCCGCGAGAAATGACAGGAATAAACTTGCGCTTTTGATCGCAACTGGACCTGAGGCTGGGTTTACCATTGAAGGGCCTCCTGTGATCTACAGGGCTGGTAGTGTGTTGCTACAAGGGCAGGTCGAAGCCTTTGCAACTTGGCTGCGCTGCTTGAACGCCTTCAGGTGGGCCTGAGATGGCTAGCCCTGAAACTGATGGACCTGAACGACCGTTGTTTTCGCTCCGTGTTGTTTGCCCGAGATTGCCCAAGGCACGGAAGGAACAGAAGGCGCTACAGTCTCAGCAGCAGGCCTTAGAAGCCTTGGCCTCACAACAGAGCAACGAGACAGTGCGGCACCAGGCATTGCAGGCCGAAGTGCAGGAGGTCGATTCTTGGCTTTGAGCCGCCAGCTACCGGCCTGCCTTCGTTGTGTCAGCAGCGGCCCAATGTAAGCTACATGAACAAATGCCACACATGCGGGAGAGTATCAGAGTCGCTTACAACACGGCCACATTCATGGGTTCCATCTCCTTCCTTGATGCCCTGAACCCCTCTTCAGAACAATCATGTTGCAAGATGGGCATCACCTTAATCAAATCACTCTCCCCAAAAAGGGTCGCCTTTGAGGCCACCTTTGCATGACATTCCTGGCAAAACTTCCCTGAAACCGACCCAAACCGACCTGTCCCAAACCGACTTTCGCCACAGTCCTCTTACAGCTTCCGTGGGGTCCTGTCGGTCCTGGCCGGTCGGTCCTGGCCGTCACTGAGGAAGCCAAGGAGCGGCGACTGGAGGAACTGGTCGAACGTCAATCCAAGGCACCGGCACCGCAGTCGTTCGGATCGATCGCCCGTTCCGACGCGCCGGTCCGTTGGGTGGCGAGGTCGGTTTGGGTGGGTTGGGCGCCTTGGAGTGGCGCTGGAGGTTGTCGTTTATTGCGGCCTCCTGTTTGGGAGAGTTGGTGTGGTAAGAGTTGTCAAGTACTGATTTGACACTGACACTATCAGTCACTATCAGCTTGAGTTTTGTGCTTTACGCGGCCTTGCAACCTCACACGCTCAGGTGGGCGATTTAGTCCAAAACACCTATATTATACACAGCCATAGAGAGAGAGATATATATATATAGAGAGAGAGATAGGGAGAGAGAGAGAGAGCCATCAGCGGGATGGAATATCGAGTGAGAAAGACACCCTGGGAAACCAGGAATTGCTGATGGCAGAAGCTGGCAAGATCAAAGCAGAGGCATTGTTGCAGGAGGGATGCACATTGGAGCTTTGTGGTGTCGATTTTTCTCAGCTCAAGGCAGACATTTGGCGGTCAAATGTTCAAGTTACAAGTCGGAGATTTGCTTGGTACCTTAGACACGGCTGAGCGGCTTGCAGAACATGGTGCCCGGGAGATGCATGAAGACCAATGTGTGCCAATGGACGTATTGAAGTAAAGCCTCAAGGGGTATGCTAGGTATAAGGATGGCATGGTTTTGTTTCCATTTCTGTCATCCATGCCCCTGGCTGCGTGTTTGACGCTTCCTCATGCTTCTTTCTTCCCGCACCTGCGAGGAGCAATCGCAGGCATTGCTCCGGGCACGGACGTTGGCTGCACTTGGCGGCGTGGCCAAGAGTGGGGAGGCACTTTTACAGATTGCTGCCAACAGTGCGATGGAGTTCAGCCACTCGCTGTCCAAAAAGTCGAAGCACCCGACAAGACGTATTTCATTTGAGGGTGGAGAGTGTTCGTGACGTGGGGTCACTGGGTTTCCACGTCTTCTTGTTTTTCTGTTTGTTGGGGCTGTTTGTTGTTTCTGCTGTTGTCATTTTTGCTTTGCTGCTTTGTTTGCCAAAAGTCATCTTTCTTTCGACCGTTCTTTTCTGTCTTTTTCTGTCGTTTTCTCGGTTGATTGCACCTGTTTTCATCGGTCTTTTTCAGGTCTTTGCTGAAAAGGACAGTCATCAACGTGAATCGGGGGCTCTCCTCGTAAAGACTAGAACCGTCCATTGTAAAGACTGGAGCAGTCCATGATGTTGGCGATTTCCACAGCACAGAGACTGACATGAGGTAGAGATATCATGAGAGATCAGCTCATCGGGGCGGCAACCTATTTCGTCCTCATGACGCTTGCTTTGCACAAAGAAAGTGCATTTGGAAGGGCGATTTGGTTACTTGCTCCAAGGTCAGTAGTTTGGACCGCCTGACTGTTTGTGAAGCCAAGGATGTTGGTTGCTCTCATTTATGTGAGCTACTTCACCTATGAATACCCCAAGCTCAGCAAGCAACCTGTTGTTACGCGAGACCACTTTACATTTAGTCTGTTCGAATGCTGCAACTGCGACGCAGAAGCAGCCTCGAGAGAGATCATGCGAGATGGCCGAATTCCTTGCTGCTCCTGCTGCTGTGGACCCATCCGCTGGGCCGACACCGCTAGTTCCAGCAAGACCGCCTTCATCTCCTTTTGGCCAGGTGTCGCCGTAGCCACTGGGTTGAATGCCTTGGTCGGCGTCTCTTTCTATGTGAGTGCCTTGATCTTTGTTGTCATTGCCACCGTGCACCGGCAGCAGATCCGCAAGAACTATGGGATCCCTCATGGCACCTGTCGCACCTGCACAGAGGATGCTTGTACCTGGACTTGGTGCTCTTGCTGTGCCACCATGCAAGAGGCAATGGAGATTCAGTACATCGATCCTCCATCCAAACCCTGGCAACAGACCATGGATTCTTTGATCCCATCTGCATTCCAGACTGGCAATGCATCTTCAAGTGGCCGGCAGGAAAGATCTGCCTGTTGCTGATTCCAGATCTGAAGAATAACGCAGCGAGGAACAGTTGCTTGCTGAGTATGTGCTGTAGACCTTGAAGCAGTGCACCATTAGGTGAGTAACCCGAGGCTGGAACAGGATTATGTGGCTAGATGTTTTGAAGAGGCAGCAATATCGATCCTACTAATCTTCTATCCAAGTCGGTGCAGAGGTCCCACATGAACCACCATGCGTGGCCTTACCCTGAACATGAGCCCCGCACAGGAGCAACGGGTGAAGACACTTGCAGCCCAACTTGGCCATCGGGCACAGTGACGAAAAGACTGCAACCTGTTTGTTGTAGGCTAATTTGAGTGCTGCTTGTCGGACTCAGCCGTGTGCCCTGCTAAGAATGCTCCTCATGAGTCCAACAAACCTCCGGTGAGAATCATCACTGCAGTGACCGGAGCGTGAATGCGGATCTGAGAGATCCCAGCTCCAACACAGCTCTGGCTCTGGTAGCGTTTGGCTCAGACTCTCTTTGTGGCTGGCCCACCTTGGGAGCTCATGTCGGCCCTGGTGCCCACCTTTGTCCCCCTTGGCCGGGCCATCCCCAGCCAAGCAAGGCCTGCGGTTGCAGGCGTCAGCGTGCGCCATCCAGAGGCATGGAAATCAGGGGAATCAAGGGAAAACACCTGGATGGATGTGGTCGAATGAATCGAAACGTTGGTGATGCTCACACTGTCTTTCGGCGCGTGTCTTTCCACGATGTGGCAGGCAGAGCGGCCTGGGCGCTCTGCCTCCCTCCGACCTCAGGCAACTGGGACGATAACATCGTCAACCGAGTCCTCCAACAATGATGGAGTGCCGATTCTTTTGGCTTCAGAAATTGCTGCAGAACATAATTTTGAGAGGAAGAATTGGCATGTATAAGAATGTCATCCTTCACCGTCAAACCTTGATCTGCATTCTGCCCTGCTGGTTGCAGAGCAGATGCTTCTGAACCCTGTCTGTTTGTTTGTTTGTTTGTTCCCCAGATAGCTGGAAGCTATAGGGGTTCTTACTTCTCAATGGATGGGTTCCGGATTGCGGAAATTGGCTGCCGCTGCCGCCTTGTTTCCCAAGCTTCTCTCCCTTCATGATTTCGCTTTGAGCTGCCGCTGCCGGCTTGTCTCCCAAGCTTGTCTCCCTTCATGACTTCGCTCTTGGCTGCCGCTGCCGTTTTGTTTCTCCGGCTTGTCTCCCTTCATGACTTCGCTTTTGGCTGCCGCTGCCGGCTTGTCTCCCAAGCTTGTCTCCCTTCATGATTTCGCTCTTGGCTGCCGCTGCCGTCTTGTTTCTCAAGCTAGTCTCCCTTCATGACTTCGCTTTTGGCTGCCGCTGCCGCCTGGTCTCCCAAGCTTGTCTCCCTTCATAACTTCGCTCTTGGCTGCCGCTGCCGCCTTGTCTCCCAAGCTTGTCTCCCTTCATGATTTCATTCTTGGCTGCCGCTGCCGGCTTGTCTGCCAAGCTTGTCTCCCTTCATGATTTCGCTTTTGGCTGCCGCTGCCAGCTTGTCTCCCAAGCTAGTCTCCCTTCCTGATTTCGCTCTTGGCTGCCGCTGCCGCCTTGTCTCCCAAGCTTGTCTCCCTTCATGATTTCGCTTTTGGCTGCCGCTGCCGCCTTGTCTCTCAAGCTTGTCTCCCTTCGTGATTTCGCTCTTGGCTGTCGCTGCCGTCTTGTTTCTCAAGCTTGTCTCCCTTCGTAACTTCGCTCTTGGCTGCCGCTGCCGGCTTGTCTCCCAAGCTTGTCTCCCTTCATGATTTCGCTCTTGGCTGCCGCTGCCGCCGTGTTTCCCAAGCTTGTCTCTGTTCCTGATTTCGCTCTTGGCTGCCGCTGCCGCCTTGTCATTTTCTTGCCTGCCTTTGACGCGGACGCTGTTATAAGATGATTTAGGTCTTGTTTACCTTTTCCATCTTTTTCCCGGCTTTGAGTGGGATGTCTCCCAAGCTTGTCTCCCGCTCTTGCCATGGTGTCCAACTTTTCTTGAAGTGCTATCTGGGGTCTATGCCGGTATAATTTGTTTGTTTTGTTTTGTTTTTGTGTTGTTTTGTTTTGTTTTGGTTTGTTTGTTTGTTTGCTTGTTTGTTTGTTTGTTTGTTCCCCCACCAGTTTACTGTTAGGGGTTCTCAATGCTTTAAAGAATGGTCGCCTTGGTGCTGGGGTTCCCGGCCGGCTTGTCTCCCACTTCCTTTCATTTGTCTCCCAGGCTCGGTGCTTGTGGTCGGGTTCCCGGCCGGCTTGTCTCCCACTTCCTTGCATTTGTTTCCCACTTTTTCCCCAAACAGTTTACTTTTAGGGGTTCTCAATTCTTTCTTAAGATGTGTCCGCCCTTTGTGTCACTGCTGGTGTCCGCCCATTTCCACTGGCCGCTGGTCGTGTAGCATTTCTATTCATTTGTCTCCCAGGTCTGTCACTGCTGGTCCGCCCTTTTCCGCTGGCGATGCAACATTTCTATTCATCATTTGTCTCCCAGGTCTATCACTTGCGGTGTCCGCCCTTTTCCGCTGGCGATGCAACATTTCTATTCATTTGTTTCCCAGGTTTGTCACTGCTGGTGTCCGCCCTTTTCCGCTGGCCATGCAGCATTTCTATTCATTTGTTTCCCGGGTCTGTCACTGGTGCTGCCGCCCTTTTCCGCTGGCCATGCTATTCATTTGTCTCCCATATGTGATTTCTTTCTTTTTGCTGCACTGGTGTTTTCTGCCCTGTCCGCTGGAACAGGTTCACCTGTGAAAGGTTCTTGCTCCTTTGAAAGGGGTGCGTGACTGTCTCCGGGATTGCATTCCTGCCACACTGTGTAACTCTCTCAGCTTTGTTTTCCTTTTCGGGCAAGCGTTGGATGAATGACCGGATTGGATTTCGGTGGCGTGGCAGCGATCTTTTTGTTCAGTTGGGACGGAGGGCATACGTCAGGCACCAAAAATCAATTTCATGTCACATCCTTCGCTCCTCATGCTTTTATTTGTTGTCCTCACGTGGTCAGCTCCCCGCTGATTGAGCAGCATGACCAGCATCATGTTCGCACTTGAAGAATAATTCCCCAAAAGGTTTGCTGTTGGGGCTTCTCAATTCTTTCTTAAGATGTGTCCGCCCGCTCTGGCCGCAATCCTTTGTCTCCCAGCTCTGGACGTCGCAAGCTCTAGTTTCGATTTGAAAAGCACAAACTGTTTGGGGCCTACGGTGGTGTAATTTGTTTGTTTGTTTGTTTGTTTGTCAAAAGCCGCTTGGCTTACATAGATGGGACGCCCCACAGATGTGTGCTTTTGAGCCCTTTGCTTTGTGTTTGTGTTTTTTCTCCTTGTGTTTGACTCTTTGCATGTGGTGTATGCTGCAACAATTCTGTCTTTGCACGTTCCAGCTTTGCATTGCTTTCTCTTTGGCATCTAGATCTAGATCAAAAAACTGACAGGCTTCGCCAACCAGCGACGCCCTTGGGGGCGCAAGCCATATAAGCCAGGTGGTGCTAGAAATGTCGGCCGCAAACCGACACTTTTAACATCACCAGGGCGTATGTGTTTACGTGAGCAAAAGTTCAAAAAACACAAGACAAATGATAAACAATGGCTACTGTAAAGGCTTTATATATCTCTAGAGAAGAAAGTATATATGCTAAGAGGAGAGGAAGTTTTGAGGTAGCAGTTGTGTCGCGCACCATTGGCATCACCAGAGTACAAGCAGCATTGTTCATAAACTACATACATTTGCAAAAACACTGTCATTTACAGTGCTTTGCACCTAGTCATACACCAAAGGATTTGCATATTTGCATCTTTCCTGTTGAGACTCTGCGATGCTAACGATGCTCGACCAAAATTTGTCCTCAACAGTTGTCTCCATTTTCAACTCTTTATTTTCTAGAGGTTTTGAAGCTATAAGCTTTACAGTTACCATTTTTGATCTTTTTCCGCGCAGTTTTTGGCGTTTTTTGACGAATCCACACGAGCCCGGGTGATGCTAGAAAAGAGGTCGGCGGCATGGGGCGCGTCTCCGTAGCAAGCTGGGCTTGATACGGGGCAACGGCACGGCGTCGCCGGATAGAACAGGCTAACGCCCGTGCGCTGCCGACCCCCTATTTGACAAAGACACCGGCAAAGGAATACGCAGGCAGCAAAAGGAACACCAAAAGGAACGAATAGGCCAGGAAAAAGAACCCAAAGCACATCAAAAGGAACCAACAAGAGATCAAGAGGGATGAAAAGGAAGTGAAAAGGAATGAAGAAGAAATCAAAAGGAACCAAAAGGAAGCAAAAGGACATCAAAAGGGAACAAAAGGAAGCCAAAGGAAATCAGCAGGAAGCAAAGGGCCAGGAAAAGGAGCGCAAAAGGAATGAAAAGGAATCAGAAGGAAAATTAAAAGGAAGACAGAGACGAAGAGGAAAGCAAAAGGACGCGAAAGGAAAGCAACCACGCCAAACTTGCAACCCCAGCGCGTTGTTTTACAATGAAAGTGCGTCGTGACCACTCTTTTTTTGCTAAGCGCAAATCCACGCTGGCAACTTTGTCTATCAAAGTGGGAGCTTGAGAAACCTATGTTTCTACATGTGTTAATATATATAATTTTTTTTTGGATTGTTTGTGGTTGAGAACCTTTGGCCTCTCCCACAGGTTGCCTGCGTGTATGGGATGTGGATGACTCGCCGGCCGCCGCGCCACTAGAAGCAAACAACTGGAGTAGTGTAACTTGATAAAATACCTGTCTAGAAATTCTTGGGGCACAAAAGCCCGGATTGGACACGCAAGGGCATGTTAAGTTAGGAGGGACAAATAAATAGCGGTTGCGCACGTGGAGCTTCAGAACACATGCTTGGCCCAACTCTCTTGATATACAGGGCGCTCTCCCACCCGCATGGCGGAACCAGGCCCTTTTGGACGAGGACAGCTAGTCGGCGCGATTGGCCATGTTGGGATCACTGAAGATCCGAAGTTCCAAGAGCGCTGCGTAACGTTCCAGTGTTGTGTTCGACTGGCGGTTCTCCCAATTTCTTTCATGAAGCCTTCGTCTCCGCAACAATGTTCATACCTGGTTGTTTCCAGCTAGCGGTGTGGAAAAAGGAAGGTCATCACCTATTTACTGAACGCTAAACTGATAGACAAATTCTACCAATCATTTTTGCCAATGTACCTTGCGTTTTGTGTTCTCGATGTATATTTGCATCTTGAGGAACGCATGGATTTTAGGGGTGATCTTAAACGACCTGCGTTCGCGATCAAGTCTCTTGCAGTCATTCGAAGCAAGGGCGTGGTAGAAAAATGGCTGTCCACCCGTAAGTGACCACCTTTGTGCACTCTTCCTCTGAAAGCCAGGGCTCGTTCATATCAAGGAACCCAAAACATGAGTTTTCATCACTGAAGCTTTGTAAATGGATGAAAGCTCGGGGGGACTTGCCCATTTCTCCTTCCTAAAGCGCGCCAGGCTGAACCCATGGGAACATGCTGACACCATAGAAAGTCTTTCTGAGCGCCAGGATTTCCTGTGTTCAAAGACTGGCCCATGCGACAATGTGTCCATCCGTTTTAGGGTTATGTTTGGATGTTTTTCTTCAAGGTGATCGCACAGTAGTTTTTTTGGTGCAGCGCATGAAGAAGGTCCTCAGCTGGAATGGCTCCATGGACCACGCCAAAACCTCGGCGCCGCCACACCGAAAAAACACCCTGGCCCTGGAGGTTTCAACGGGGCAGGGAGCGACCGCTGACAGTGTCTAATGTTGCCTTTGAAACCCCATAGAAAGAGTAGTCCAGGACAAGCCTCAGGTATATAGCTGCGAAAAGAGCGTGCGGCTGAGGTCTCTACGGCCTGTTGGACCTAACGTCAGTGCCCCTACCTGCCAACGGACCGCTGACAGTGTGTAACGATGCCTTTGGAGCCCCATAGAAAGAGTAGCCCACCCTGACCCTGGGACCCTGGAGGTTTCAACGGGCATCAGCTAGGCCGGGGTCGGCGGATAATAGCAGAAGAACAGCGTCAAAGACCAACAAGAACTGGATCAACAACAAGTAACAGCGGGATCAACGAAAATAAGCCTGAGCAGGTTTGTAGTCCATTGGTGTCTGGTCCGTCCTGTGCCCGGTCCGCCTCATGGTTCATGAATCAGAAAGCGCCAGATTTTCAATCCTCATAATATTTGCGAATTTGGCGGCGACCTCTGCAAAAGAGCTGTGCCTGGCCGCTGCAGGGTGGCGCTGCCAGTTGTGTGTGGCTGCGTCCTTTGGAGCTTGGGTGCTGGTGCTGCTGTGAGATGTTGATGGCCGTGTGCGCTTTGGAGCTTGGGCGCTGGTGCCGCTGCATGGTGCTGCTGCGTGGCCATGTGCGCTTTTGAGCTTGGGTGGTGGTGCCGCTGCAGGGTCCTGCTGCGAGATGTCGATGGCTGTGCGCGCTTGGGAGTTTGTTTGCTGGTGCGGCTGCAGGGTGCCAGATGTGCGTGACCATTGGCCGTCTGTGCTTTGAGCCTGTGCCCTGGTGCCGCTGCTGCCAGATGTCTATGGCAGTTTGAGCTTCGGAGCCTGTGTGGTGTCAATGCAGGCCGCTGCAGGCCACCATGTTTATGGTGACGCGGATTTTCACAACCGTGGAGGCGTTCACATTTTGTCACATGTTCACATTTTGTCACATTTTCGGCGTTTCTTGTACACGTATATGCACGATTTCTGCCATTTCTGCTTCCATTCATCGATTTCATGATATGTAATAATCGGTTTCACAACATTGTCACCGTTCTCACAACATTGTCGTCGGTGTGACAACATTGTCATCGGCTTCATAACATTGTCATCGCTTAGTCGTGTGATTAAAATAAGGATGTGGATGTCATGCTGAGAACATTGTCATCGGTTTCACGATATGTAATCTTCGGTTTCACAACATTGTCATCGTTTTCAGAACATTGTCAACGGTTTGACAACATTGTCACCGGTTTCATAACATTGTCACCGATTAGTCGTGTGATCGAAAATGGGGTGGGGTGGGGGTGGGGGGTTGTGATGGAATGAGGATGTGGATGTCATGCTGAGAACATTGTCATCGATTTCACGATAAGTAGTCTTCGGTTTCGGTTTCATAGCATTGTCATCGGTTTCACAACATTATCGTCCCTTGCATAACATTGTCATCGTTTTCATAACATTGTCATCGATTTCACGATATGTAATCTTCGGTTTCGCAACACGGTCCTCGGTCGAACACACGTACGATTGCATACCACACGTGGCGAGCGTAATTCATGTTGGAAGCTTACAAGTTTGCTTTTTTTCTTTTTTTTTCGTGTCTTTTCCGCAGCGGAGCAAAGTGCCCGAGCAGGAGAGCCAGTGCCCGAGAAACAGATGAAGAGTTTATATGGACAAGGCTAAGGCTAGATATAAATCTACAATGATCTACAGGCCAAGTGGGCCAAGTTTTATCCACAGCACACGAGCATCACGCCGACTGGGGTTCAGGTGAGGTCCGTTGTCCATTCCAAAAGCGAATGGAGCAAGCCTGTGAGGGTTGCACAGCGTTGTCGCCTCGCTGGCACACAGCAGATTGACAGATGTTGGCGCCACTTGAAGTTTTTTGCCGACGCAGATGAAGACACGTCAGGGTGAAACCCTGAACGGGAAGATCTGGGAGAGAATCTTCCAATGGATCTATCGGCGTAATTCGAAGGAGAAAATGAGTGGATATAACTTTTCGTCGTCCCTCGCCCTCGCATAATTTGCACTTTTGAAACAGTGCTTAAAACGCAGGCGAGGTGCGACTTGCGATCACAAACGCACGGTTGCGAAAACCCGTGTCACCATGTTTATGGCGGTGCGGGGGCCATGCTGCCCACAAATATCCTTTTTCTATCTGGGGTCTATGAAAGCGTAATCTTGATCCCTCACGCCTCTTTTCTGCCCCGGGACTTCTTCCCTTCCTGGATGTATTCTCCTTCTGCCCACTGCCATCCTCTGTATGTTTTTTTCTTTAAGTGCTTCTTTTCTGTTTGCTTGTCTTCCTAGCTTCCCCTTTGTTTTCTTGTCTGTCAGTCTGTCAGTCTGTTTGTTTTGTTTGTTTGTTTTGTTTTGTTTTCTTGTTTTGTTTGTTTGTTTGTTTGTTGGTTGGTTGGCTGGCTGGTTGGTTTGGTTTGGGTTTTGGTTTGGTTTGGTTGGGTTGGGTTGGGTTGGGTTTGCTTGCTGGCTGGCTGGCTGGCTCGCTCGCTCGTGTGTCTTTCCTCTTCTGTCTCTGTGCTCTCTTGCTTGCCTGTTCTCTCCTGTGTTCCCTGCTGTGTGTGTGAAGCCCTTGGAGTCACAGGGAGCCTGTTTGTTTTTAGGTTTTCGTTTACTTGCAGGGGCGCACATTGCAGTCGATTGCCCGACGAAGATGCTGCAATTGTGACTGATTTCGCGTTTGTAATTACATCCAATCTAATCTTCAGGCTGCTTAGGTGGAGGTAGGTCGGCGTACTCTGCACATTTCGCCGTCCTTGTCGCTCGCCTGGCTTTCGGTGTGGCACTTTGCTGGCTTCAATGCTTCCTGACCTACACTTTGAGACTTTGGTCCTCCCTCTTTTTGTCTGGGCCTCCAGGATGCTCAGCCCCCTTACATGTTTTATTGAGGAAATCTTTTCGCCTAGTACTAGGCAACCGCGTGGTAAACCGCAAGTCGTTTCCGGACGCAACTTTCCGCGTGTGTCTGTATGTTTTCTTCTATGTTGCAAGCCTTTTCTTCTGACCTGTTCTTTTCTTTGTGTTTTGTTTCCTTCACGTGTCTGCTCCACCATTCTGTTCGCTCTTTTTTGTGCGTTTTCCTGTCCGTGTCCCTGCGCGGCCTCAAGAATGTGCGCTTTGCTTTCCCGGACGTCAGGTGGCCATGGGCCTGGGTCTGGGGTTAGTTGGCCTCCGCCACTTGAAGCTCCACTTCCGGGTTGGGTGCCAAGAGAGCAGGTGCTGTCCGAATCGGAGGTCCAGTTTCCTTCTTTCGAGTGGTTGGGTGAGGAAATGTACATATTTTCATATATAATAGATATAGATGTGTATCCATTACATTTGCACCTGGTGATGCCTGGTGCAACTGCTAGAATCATGACTGAAAGCGGCACGTCGTATGACGCGGTCTTATATCGCCCACGCGGGGTGTCCAGGCAAGACTTCCAATCCGAGGCCAGAGCTCGCCTTCCTGCAAAAGAAGGTATGCCGATGAATGGACAAAGAGCTGGGACATGGTTGTAGTATGTTGTAGTTTATGGTGGAAGTTCCAATCTGCATTTTTCTCGTGCTCCTCATTCTTCCGTTTGAATGTAAAAATGAATTGTTTTCACTGCACGCATGTTTCTCAATCCTGCACCTTTCCAGAGTTCGGGCTTGTGCTTGGCTGGTCAGACTTGACGCTTCGCAAATCAAAATATGAAACCGATATGTAGAGCACTGAGATGCTTAGAAGAACTCAGTCCTTATTTATTTGGGTGTTTAAACTGAACGCCGCGTCCTGCCAGGCTATCACCGCATGGTGCGGTGCTGTGTGCCGGGCCTGGAGTGGGATGGTCGGGAAACTACTATTCCATCGCAAACTTCATTATTGCAGACAGTAGATTTTTGAATCCTGTGGCTTTCCAGCTTTTGTGTTGCCTGTTGTGCGGCCATTGGCGAACTTGCGCACTGAGTCGACTTCCACAGATCAGGCCGGCAGACCCTAGGAGCTCTGAGATGGACTTAGTACAAGCAGGAAAGTTGGATCCACAATCCGCACCAATGATACCTGCAGGTGGTGTCAACGCTAATTGCAGACAACCACGAGGCGGTGGTTTTGTATGTCGTGAGCAGGGGCCTGCGATAGACGGCCGTTTCACCTTTGCGTCCGGTCGGAGAGAGTACTTGGTGGATCTCGGCGATGTGGGCTGTGTGGCCATGGCGGCCAGGTCCAGTCACCACCAAACGACCCGCGAACCTACAGGGTGCTGCGGATGGAGAATGGCTTGGAGGCCTTGAGATCCTCATCCTTGAGGGTTTGTCGGGGAATGAAGTTGTACACCTCGGGCACCTTTTGGCACCATCGGTGTTCTTCACACAATTGTTCCATTCCATTTGATGCGCAGCTGCGCAACTCAAGGGTGGGTGCAATCAACCCTTTCATCCTAGCAATCGCTCTGGATGTCTTCAGAGGTTGAGATTCTTTCGGGCGAGTCGGAGCCAAAATGGTGAGCTGCCGGAGGTGCTGTTAGCTTCCGACTCGACCGCTAGTACGTCAGCGGCTGCCCTGACAGCCTACGACTGAGAAGCTTCTGGATGAAACACTCATTGTACGCAGCGGATGTGCCATGAGAAGTTATATAAATTCTCATGACACTTTGATGTTTATTCAAGATCTATGTCGACACATTGCGCATGGACGCACCCGAGGTGCAGTGTGGGACCTTCCAGGCTGCGGCTAATGCGAGAGTGCCATAGGTTTTGACACCAAAAAAACACTGCACTCGGTCACTACCAGTAGGTGTGTGCAAAATCTTTTCTTCGTGACGAGCTCGTGACTCGGTGTGTGGACATCGGACGAGTGACTCGGCAGGATCCAGGGGACCGTTTAGGCCTGGCTCACTTTCATGAGCACATGCTGTTTCTGGGTCCGGGGCCTCGGGTGAGCGGTGAGCAGCATGGCACCGGCATCCAGCATGGGCGCGTCCGCGTCGGGTCGCGCGCGTTTGGAGCACCGCTTCGGGCAGGGGGAGTGGGCAGGGTTCCTTGGCTGAAGGTACCGAAAAGTATCCCAAGGAAGACGAGTACAGCTGAGAACTGAGTTGCATACTGGGACGCACTTGGATGCAATTAGACTGAACTAGAGGCCTTGCACGTTTGGCTGAGGCAAATTTCTCAGTGACCATGGTGGGGACAGCAACGCGCACCCCACCCTGCAAGTGAGTGTCTAAAAACAACTTTGGAGAAACTGCAATCAAGGTTCACCATGTCCGAATACACCACCTACTATTTCAAGGCCAGAGCAATCAAGAGCTCACGCGTGACTAGCAACTTGCCTGGCCAGGTGGCCTCCTCGTATTTGGAAGGAGCCCTCGATCGGTTTGCAGAGTGGCTTGGCCTTGGCTGCTGAAAATCATGCTTGTTTTCTATTTGGGGATCATTGACATTGAGGTCTTCTGTAGCATCATGCAGCTGAGGTTCTTTATTAGCCCTACGTTTGATCCGTCTGGCATCGAGCGGGAGATGAAGGCTTTGGGCCTTGACTGTGTCCGATGCGATGAGTGGGCCAAATAGGGTGGCTCCTTCAGACACCTGAACCGTCAGAAATCAGAAGTCACAGGAACCGTCGGCAGGTGTACATTCACCACATCCGTCCGAAACCACGTGTTCTCTTCGTGGCGGGTGAAGCAAAGGCCGTGGACTCGGAGAGCACCAACTACTCCACGGATGATGGCTGGCGCTTGCTTCAAGTCCTCAAGGCCAGGCCCAAGAGATGAGAAGGGAACCAACAGAGTCATCCGTGATCCCGGCACTGCCTGCGCTCAGCTGGGCAGTATCATTGGTGAACACAGATGCAAACAGATTCGGAGGAAAAGCCCCCGGTCAAGCCCTTGTTCGAGCGTTTTTGGAAGAGTTGCCAGGTAGCCAGCTCATTACTTTGCCACTTCAGGCCACAGCAGCTGAAGAGCATCCCTTCTTCAGCTTTGATGTTGGAAACCTTAGTACCCTTGGTGCAGATGTCAGAAGCTTAGAAATCTCAGCACTTATAGATTTCAAAGGTGGATGTCATGAATCTTTCAGCTCTGTTCAAAATGTTTGAAACCTTTGGCTAGCATTTGGCCCAACATTCCCAGGATTTACCCGGCACGCGAGAAAAGCTGATTGCCGCGGCCCAAGGCGGAGCAAACCGATCGGCGCAGACAGCGATCGGATGCTGAACGATAGGGAAGCATTTTGGGGCTCAGGCAGAAAAACCGAAGGCTTTCTGGCAGTGAGGGCTGACCGTTGCGCCGATATGAGAAGGAGTTGTTCACCCTATTTGAGCTGTCACTGCCACTTGGGGCTCAAGCTAGTGAGCAGTAGTGGGCCAACATGGCAGGTACTGTCGTGCTGGTGACAGGCACACGGCGGCGCACAGCGGCGCACAGCGGCGCACACATGCACAACGAAGATATGAAGTCAAAAAATAGAGCATGGCATTGCATCGAGTCTACCATTCACTAGGTGGACCCGCCTCTTGTGGGGTAGCGGAATTATATGCTGAAGCGGTTTAGTCGGGGCGCTGTACATACAATAAAAAAAGAACCGCAAAAGCTTTGAAGCAGAATCCAATCAACTACCACTTGGACTCAGACGATCCCGGAAGGAACGTTTATTGCATGGGCACCGTCAACTAGCAAAGAGGGCACCTTGCTGTAACAACAGGTTTAAGGAGATGTCCATTGTCACCAATCTTTTGCTGGCTGGATGAAACCCTTGTACTTTTGGCCTTGCCTTGATTCAAATGAAGCGGCGCTAGGTGGTAGTGGCCTTGTGGGCAAGGCCATCCACAAGGTAGTGAATGAGGACACTCTGCAAAGCTTTTCTTTTTGTAGAAAACTGGCGTCGTTCTTTTCCATCATGCCTCTTAGCGGCCTTAGCACTTTTGCAGTTGGTCACTGCTTGCCCCCTCCTATTTCAACCTCTAGATTTTCTTGGCCCCCCCCAGAGAAGCTTGAAATCTAAGTTAAGGAGCTCCACTGAGCCACGCACTGCTGCATTTTGAAGTGTCTTCGGGTGTAACCGTGGTTTGGCACCATCATGCTTAGATGCCCCTTCTTGGAAGGACGACACCTCTAAAGACGAGACATGGGTCTTCCTTTCATCCAAAGATGGTGATTTGGTGGACCGGAAAGCAACCGAAGCAATCTTCGAGAAGCACAAGCCTACGCCGCATGGCTTGTGTGGAAGTAGCCCCTCCAGCACCAAAAGACAGTCACATTCCTTTCTTGTTTAAAGACTCAATGACCTCCTTGGTGAAAAGGTGTTCTATGTGGCATGACCACCAGGGGCAATGCATCATTTTGCATGGGGTTGCCATCCAAGGACGACCACACTCAACCAAGGGATTAGTTTAATCTCTACTCAACCGCGGGATGTTTGTGGCCGCTTGATTAGATTCTTGAATTGTGGCCCTTGATGTTTCGAGCCATGCACACCTGAGTGACTTGCCAAGGCATGTCATTCATCTTGCAGCCAGTGCCGCATCTGCAATTCCAGTGACCGGTGAGAGCGAGGCAAACATAGTATTCACACTATTTTGGTGGCTCCAGGTGCTGTAGGATTCTTACATCAACAGTAGTGTTCCTTTCTTTGAGGACATTGACGTTAATCCCAACTTTGAGCTGTGGCAATCTTTGTGCAGTGAGGAGTTGGTGGCCTCTTTCACAACATGGCCAAGAAGGTGGAGTTCTTCCGGGAGAACATGCTGATCAATGACAACGTCATGGAGTGCTGCCGAATCTATCAAGTCAAGAAGTTAGTTTCTTGCCTCTCCACCTGCATCTTTCCCGATAAGACCACCTATCCCATTGACGAGACCATGCTGCACAACGGAGCTCCTCATAGCTCCAACCTGGGCTACTCCATCGCCAAGCGCCTCGTGGACTCGATGAACCACTGCTACCATGACCTTGGACTAAACAGAAACGACGACACCAAACGCAGAACATTGAACAGATTCAGATGGAGCTCAGCAGATTCATGTTCCCAAGAGGGATGACAGCAAATTACAGAGTCTGTGCATCGAAACTTCTGACAGTTTGTTGTGATCTAAGCTTAGAAGCCTGCTGGTTCCCACCACCGAGTCCGAGTGTAAACCAAATGCCGTGTCAGAGGCCCCCGCAAATCTAACCACGGCCTATCATCAAATGCAAGGACCCAGGCAAACACACAACTCCTCGCACATAATATGTGAGCAAAGGGAGGCAACATTATAGCTGTGCGGCTGCATCCTGGAATCATGCAACTCAACTCGTGGGCAGTGATTGCAGTGGACTCAGACTCAGACAGACCCTTTCTTGACGCTTCAGCTCAGGAGCAGTATGGGTGTCAGTTTACATCGTTGATCCCGACCAATGTGTATGGTCCGCACGACAACTTCAATGTTCAAGATGGCCACGTAATACCTGGCCTCATTCACAAATGCTATTTGGCCTCTTGGCTTGGCTAGTCTCGACTTGGTTGCGACCGATGACCGCTAGTCTCGACTTCAAGACATGGCACCCCTAAGGCGAAGCAAAAGGGTGAAGACATGGTCCTTTGGGGTTCAGGCACCCCAATGAGGCTGGTGCGGCTTTCTTCCTTGAATGAATCGTATTGCATGTTTGGAATGATGATCATATTGGCCATGTGCTTGGACATGACATTTCGCTTTGCTGCCCAACATTTTAGAGGGTTTTCTCACAATGTTAGGGCGGAGTGCGCTCGCACCGAATGTTGCGAGTGTGAGCACCGAGGGAATGGGCTATTAAAAAGTTCAATGTTCTTCTTGATGTAGGCAAATCTAGGCTTCTAAGGAGACTATTTGGACGCAATTGCTCGTGAAAACACATAAATCATGCTTTCACCGTGGCTTAGCTAAGCCCGGACAGAGAGTGAGAGAAGAGACAGAGAGAGAGACAGAGAGACAGGACAGGACAGGACAGGACAGGACAGGACAGGACAGGACAGGA